TGAGGATCCTAAATGAGGATGTCTGAGAAAAACTCTGAGATTCTGCTGATCCACCTTCTTACTGTCCAAACAAGGCAGACATGCCATTTTTCCTCCTTGGATTCACTTCCCCCTCACTGCCTATTTTATCCACTTTAAACAAACATCTGTATGATTTCAGAATTCTGAACACAATGTTTCCAGTCTCCATTCGATGTTTCCCCCCTACATTTATACTGTTAGATAACCACACATTTACAATTTACAACAGAGGTCAAGTGAAAATCAATTACATGCTTTCAAGTTTATTATTACAGGATACTGTCAATATGACTGTTTGCATGGTGCTCCTTTATGCTACACCACTTCCCTGTTTTTTGAATGGCCTTTTGTTGAGTGTGTAAAAGTCCAACTGCCTCTTACCGAGTTTGTTAACCCGCCTGCAACCTTTGGTACATGGCTGAGCATTAGGTTTATTATTCTAAGTGCTATGGGATGGCAGTGTTTGGACAAGGAAGAAGTGGGACGCCACCCTATTTCTTAATAGGGTGTCCACTGGGCCCTGTGTTTTTTGTGTTTGCATGTGTGTGTTCACATGCTTTTGTGTGCGCATGCCTGAAAGCCTGGGAAATGCAGAACCTCATTTATCTTCATTACTTATACTCTATTACACTGTCCTTCCCAATAGGTGGCTAAATTTATTTCCTGCACCTCATCCCATTTAATCCTGACTGCTGCACAGTGTAGCTGTGAACTTACTGAATCCTGTTATTGCCAGACATGCACATATGTTCATAGTAATCCTGCATCTTTATGCATGTAATCAGGATATTAATCCCTAACTGTCAACTCTGGTTATCTGCATTGATTATTTAAAATTAACTTGATGTACAGACAGATACCTGCTAATTAATCCTCAGTGTAGGCTAATAAAATACTAGGATTTCATTTAGTCAATGCAATTGAAGCACAAACTTTTTGGCTGGGTTTCACCACATAGCAGGACATATTATTTGTAAGATGATTTAATTAAAAACTCTCCAAAAGGCACCAGTAGCAAGAGCATGGCTCGGAGGTCCACTTCAGTGACTCAGGATTGACTTGTTTTTTGAAGCCTCAAGTGGTCACTAGAGGAACTGGAGCTTTTGATACTTCAGCACTGGCTTAGATTTTCAGCCCTTGATTTGCAGCTGCCTTTGAAACGTATGTTTGTTTGTTTGTTTGTTTTTGTTTTTTAGGGCTTGTTGGGTATATTGGTGTCTAAAATTGTATGTGTGAGTGTTTGTCTCTGGAAAGACAGGCTGTCTACATAATAGCCTTGTTTTTACTCTATGACAGTTGTGATTGGCTACAGTTCACTTTAAATTGATAAATTTTAATGATTAAAAAAAATAATGATTGTCACAGTTTATTTATATTTAGCTTTCATAAACAAATATCAAAATATCTAAACTACATTTTGCAATTTCTTTTGGGATTTTAACTTTTTTCCAGGGTATAGTGAAACTCTAATTTGAGATGGAGAGTAGATGACCTGCTCTGACTCCCAGAGTTGTGATTTTTCTTTCTTTATGTGGATGGTTGTTGGCACTCTGGCCTACAGGTTAAACCCTAATCTATCATCTGCAATCTCTTTGTTACTAGTGTGAGCTTTTTTTTTTTTTCTTTTTTTTGCTGAAATACTTTAAATGTGCTCTGAATAACTTCTGCTTCAAATGCAGGTATATGGTAATAACTAAATTATTTTTTCTTGGTGTGTAAATCTACTTTCCAACGATCCCTGTTGAAGAAAACATGTTTCTTTTCTTTACCTTACCATCTTCAAACTAAAATTAATCAATTATGTTGGAAAAATTTGTTTCAGTCATTTCTTTCCCCCAAATAACAAAAGCTACCCTTTTGGTGGAGATGAAGTAGGGCGCCCTACTGATAGCTGAGATTTATAAACACATTTTTGTTTTGTTTCCTACTATTACAATTTACTTTTTGCGACTTTTAGCCATATTTTTGAGTTTCGTTTTCCTCAATCAAGGATAATAAGGACAAAACAAGGATGGGATCAATGATAGAACAATGCCCTCAGTCTGATTTTGAAAGTTCTGTCGCTGAAAACAGGTAACCTCAATCCTTGCCATCTCATGTTCCTACACCAGTAAACTGCTGGTGAGAGGATTCCTTGTTCTGCACCAATCCCTTGAGAGCAGATGACACTTTTAACCAGAACCTGCAGCAGGTGGAGAACTGGTTCTGTTACTGAGCTCACTGAGGCTGCAGAGCAGGACAAGAACTACACCATTGTGGTGTTTGATGTCATTCATAGGCATGTCAATGGTGCCAGCCCTGCTGCAGCTTTTATGGATTTTTGGAGGGTTGTCTAGTTTTCCTTTTAGGAAAATTGGGGTCTAGATCAGACTGCATTTTGTGTGACATAATAAGTGGTTATCAAAATACTGCCCTCTGCTTTCTTTTTATTCAGTGCAAGGATCCAAGTCCTGCGTCCTTCTTTGCACTGTTTGCTCTGTTAAGTAAACACCTGCTTATGTTCTGTAGGTCATTTGTCAGCCTTTAAAACAAACAAGCGTTAAGGCATTTCTTTGCTGGCCTTCAATTATTCTAAATGGCTTGGCCCTATCGCTGTACAGCATTTAAGAAGCTGCTTTTAAGCCATCTGGATTGAGCTACATTACATGTGGGAAGCCACAGTCTCCTCAGCACTTCCATCTGTCTGTAACTTACTAATACAGTGTGTTAGGCACAGATGGAAGAGCTGATGGCTTGGCTAGTATTAAATAAAGCCCTTACAGTTGCAGTAACCCTGCAGGCAGTTTGGTAACATTAGTTTTAGCAAACACCACAAATCTTATCATCCTGCTGATGAAAGGAGATTCACATGAACCAGTTAGCTACTGCTCCTCTCTCACGGTTTCTCAGCTGAGACCACCAGTCTATTTTTAGACTTGCAGAACATATAAAGGGTTTACAGACATCTTTGTGTGTGAGTGTTTTAATAACAAATATAAACCCTAATTTCAGTTAATATAGGGTTACATTTTTTTTTGGTAGTTCGAACTGTGGAGTAGACTTTCTTGTTTCAGTTTAGTCTTTGTAGTTACATTTAGTTAAATTTTAAACTCAAACAGCTAAAGGATTGAGATTGATGATCATCTATCCATCCATTCTGGATAGACGGGTGAAAGAACATATGAATGGACATATCTCTGATTCTATGGAAATTATTATTAGTTTCAAAGTGGGGGTGGAAAAGGTTGCTCTGGGTTTCTGGACTTCTACCTCCACACCTAAAATGACAACAGACCACTGCCACCATCTGGAAAGAAGTAGAGTCCATCTGCAGCTCATTAAACTGACGTATTACTAATAAAGCAATAATTTAGAGGTAAGGAGACAAGACAGCACTCATTTTGTACTAAATATTGAGCCCTGCTACTACAGTACAGTGAAATAATCCTAATTACTTGCGGCACAGTCAAGTTTCGAGAAATATTACTTCAAGTAAAATGAACTACAGAAAAAGACAAATTCTAAGTTACACTGATATAAGCCAGAAGCTTTTGCCACTAACTGCAGAAGAAAATTATAGCCGACCGGTACATGGCAAAATATTGTACATTTACAAGTTGTGCATCCCTTGTTTTGTCATTTTAGAAATATCTTATGTTTCAAGTACTGATACACATTGATGTGCTTTTCTTTGTTTAATAGTCCCAAGGCCTGCATTGTTTCTTATGTAATAATGTGGGAATGTGTAGTTTCACTCAGAGCTTTTCTTGCATACGTAGTGTTGTATTAAAAAATGTTTTTTTCTTTTAAAATTGGTGGTTAGTAAACTTTTGCATTTATCAGATAGACATAAAAGAAGAATGCAGGCATTTCTCTATAATAATACATCATAGATGTACTTTTGTTTTGTGTGGAGACCAATTGCTATTATGTGCATTGTCACACCCTCCAAAAAGGCCCATTTCGCAGTGAGAAAAACCTTTATAACTGTAATTATAGTTAATTAAATGTAAAATAAATTGTGTGATACTTGGGTTCTGTAGATATTTATAAAATTAAGAAGTGATGCATCACAACTTGAAAATTTGACCTGGAAAGAGCAAAAAATTGAAAAGTAATGTGTTTTCCTTTTTATTTTAAAAAGGGAAAATGCACATTAATTAACATGAACACTTTGTCCCATCAGTTGAATGGATAGTATTTATCCATACGGGCTAATTTTCATCGGCAGTACCTTGTAGTTTGATAGATGAAGCCTCTGGTGTATGGCATTAGATTTTGGTGCAGTTCTTTCTTTGCTACTGTCAGTATTTAATTCCCAGCACAATATTTACTGAAAACATGATTGTGCCACAATTAGGGTGATCTCACTGTAGCAGCAGGCTTGAATATTTAGTGTGAAATGAGGGCTGTCTTGTCTACTCACCTCTGGCACTTCTCACGGTCTTTTCTTGTCCTCTTCCATTACAAACTAAATTATTGCTGTACTAGCAATACATCAGTTTAATGAGCTGCAGATGGACTCTGTACTTCTTTCCAGATGGTGGCAGTGGGTTTTTGTCTTTTTAGGTGTTGAGGTAGAAGTCAATTCAGAATTTTTAGGTATAATTTCTAAACCTTGCTCAACCTTAGAAAGTGATTTCCTGTGAAAACCCGCAAACCCCACACGATTCCCTAACATGGAAAAGAATCAGCACGAGCATTTTAAAACTTGTCCCAGGGTGTAGTTGTTTTTTTTGTTTTGTTTTTGCTTTAAACGAGGTGCAAGTTTTTGTGTTCAGCCTTCGCTCTTGTTAACAAGGAAAAATCCCCTCACTCTCAGGCTTCTTCCACGTGAAGTCTTTTTGCCATTGTGACTCAGATTTTCCTCTTTCTTGCCGACTTCTATAAACACACTTGTCACTTTTCACGTTTTCCAGCCTCCCCACAGCAGTAGTAGTCTCGCTGCTTCTCTTCTGCTGATTCAACATTGTGCTTTTGTGTGTGTTTTATCCCCTCAGTCTGGGAGAACAGAGAGGCGACAAGAAGAATGACGAGTTCCTGAGATGCTCAACGGACTCGTACATGATTTTCTAAGGCCTCCAGAAGCTGAAGACGGGGTGTCAGTGACAGGTAAGAGGAGTTTCTTGCATGCAGTACTGCTAAAACCTCTGCATATGTTGAGGCCATTTCCTCATACCCGCATTAGGTTTTCTCTAATGGTCATTTCCTGTTTGACACTTTGACGTTGTGACTTGGCTTCAGCGTGGCCCACATGTTGCAGCGTGCATAGTGCTGGCGTGGACGTTAACACATTCTTGCTGCGTGGGAGCTTGCAACAGATCTTAATCATGGATAGGGTATTGCTGTAATTCCAGAGCGGGAGGCATAACCCTAATCTCTTTGCCACATTATACAGTAAATCAGAGTGTGGTTAAGTCGGGTCCCTGCCAGCTCAAAACAGCCCATTTGTGTGGATTTATGTATGACTGGACTTGCTCAGTAGGACTACTTATTTTAATCTACAAACGACCCTTTCTCTCACTTCTCTCTTCATACTGATGAAGCACCCTACTGCTGAAATTTTCTCAGCGGTTTTATTTGGGAGGTGTGCATGAATTGCTTTGTGCCATGGTGGATTATTTTGGAGGTAAGTGGTCCAAAGGGCTGGCTGGTCAAGGCCAGTTTTAGCTGCAGCGTCCAATGGGAGTGTGTCCCCATGCCGAGGCAGCACGGACACTGATGGATGGCCTAGCTTTCTGTTGGTTTCTGTTCCCAGACGGGAGCCGTTGTTATGAAACTATAGAAGGAAGCAGGATGACGGACCGCAGAGAGATGGCAACACAGCTTATTGTGGATGACCACCTGATGGGCATCCGCTATAGATGTAGATAAAGTAGAACTGTGGGCTCTCGGGAGCCGTTTTCAGTGTTCACTAGAAATTATGTTACTCCTGGCACTCCTAAACATTTTAAGTATCACTGTAGGATAATAAACTTTATATGACTGAGGAAGAAAAACTGGAGACCACAGACAGATGTACCCAATATTTCTGCAAAGCCACACTGGAATTATTTATTTTACTGGAATTTCCCTCTAATATTCCTCATGGTTTTAACTCTGCTGTCCTGCAGATAGAGAAGTTACAGAATTTTACTTTACTGCTGCTTCAGCCTGTAAATCAGTTCCCTCAAATAGGGGCTGAGTCATGTTGGCCATCCCATGCCAGTAAAGTGGTAGTGTTAATGGTGGCATTCACAGCGGTGATTTGCAGCCTGCGTCTTTAGTCCAGCAGTTGTGGCCTCCAGGCGGCTGATTAATGGTGTTTGCTCTCAAATGGTAGCCTCCAACAGAGAGCAGTTTCTGTTGCTTTGGCTGCAGGCTGATGAGACCTCACTTGTGGCCCATTTAGTATTCTCAAGACCTCCCATTGAGACTTGATCAAGAATGACCTTGAACTCCATCCCCAGCATCATGTCTTGTTGCCTGAAGGACAAACCTTGTGCCTACTACTGTGACCCAGTTCTATGAGCAGGGAAAGAGAGAGTTGAAAACGAAGAGGGACAAATCTGTGTTTGTATGTGTGTAAGGCGGTGGTGGCAGGGCATAGCCTACTTCTCGTACCCTACTTTAGCCCTCTCTTTATGTGGGAGCAACTGAGCTACACTGACTACACCATCTCCTGTTTCCTTTTTCCTTTTTTTCATGTTTATTGACCAGATGGTGGCTTACAGGTCAAGGCAAACGCTGAATGCTGCCAAAGCCATGTTGGAATAAACTTCAGCATGTCATATCCTCGATTAAACTGCGATTACTGTCTGATAATCCTAAATTGAAGTTCAGTTAGTAATGCTGGTGTAAGAGTAAGCCAGCATGCATGAAACTTTAATAAAATAAAATTATTACTCAACCTATACCCACACAACACGAAAAGCAGACATGCGAGATTAACAGGGCAGCATTTAGCAACTTAAGAAACAAATATTTGTCTCAAATGTTGGTGGAAACTGTATAAACCATACCTCTATTTATACAGACTATAACTATATTTGGTGATTTGTTTTAGTATTTTCTTAATTTCTGCAGTGAAGGGAATGAGGGAATTGTATAATTGATTGAATATATCAATAGAGGGCTTGCAGATGTTTGGGTTGTATTTAAGGTCTAGAACCATATATGAAACAGAGAAGATGGAGAGGGTGTACATTGTCAACATCATCTCTGCTTTTAAAATTGGGCTTCAGACTTTTGTAGTTGGGGCTAGATGAGGTGACCCCCAAGTTCTTTTTGGTTTTGCTGGAATAGGCTCAGCCTGCTGAGGAATTTCCTATGATACACTTGGCATTCATCACCACCTGTCTACTTCCCTCTTTTAATTCCTGATGCATTTATATGCTTGTCTGTAACTTTTATCTATTCTCTCCTATAGTTAATGTTTTGTCTCATTTGTTATTCGTGGTCTCTTCTGTCCTCTCACCCCAGAGTTGGTTGCACTAGATACCCGCACCTACCTGAACCTGGTTTCTTCCTCTTAAAAGGGAGTTCTCTCTTCCCACCATTGCCAAGTGCTTGCTCATATAGAATTTTATGATTGCTGGGGTTCTCTCAATAGAGAACACCTTGAGGTGACTATTGTTGTGAATTGGTGCTATATAAATAAGACTGATTTGATTAATTTGAAAGTTCAGTTCCTGCTGCCAAGCTCGCTCTAAACACTTTGTCTAGTGGATAGTTTTGTGGCCTGGTTGCCATTGTGGCCATGTGTAGTTTCTTTTATTTCATTTAGACAGCATGGTGGCTTAATTAGTTAGCAATATTGTCTTAAAGCAGGAGAGTCCTGGTTTGAATCTAGACAGTTTGCATTTTCTCCCAGTGCTTGTGTGGGTTTTCTCCAGGAGCTTTGGTTTCTCCCACCACTGGAAAAAGATGCAAAGTTAATGCTATCTGTCTGGACAAGGGCTGACAGTGTATATTCTAAATGAGATTATATAATCAAATATTTTTTTAAAAGGAGGGGTTTTTGAGTTCTGGTAGCACTAATCCAGACAAGAGATTCTTAATCTCCTGGTTTCTGGGTTCATTAAAGGTGAATAATAATCCAGTGAAATACCATCTTGCTGTCAGATGTACTCAATGTTTGTTCCTCCTCCTGCTCTGAAAATATGCTGTAATCTGAAGGGCCGTGTTAACCAGAACCAACAGGAGGAGAACTGATTCATGTGCCACGATGCTGAACTTTCAGAGGCCATAGAGCAGAAAAACGACTACAATCGCTAGCTGCAGTCCAAGACTGAAGAATGTTTTTGTCACAAAGCGTGTGGGTGTGTGCTGTGAATGGAGGCACCAATGCTTTCACTATAAATACTTGTGTGCACACGACACGGCAGCCCCCTTGCCCACTGAATAAATAGAACCTCAATCTTTTGAAAACACTTGTAAAGCACTTTTAAAAATGAACCCTGAACCAGACAAAAGTGCTCAAGAGTCGTTGTACTTTCTTTCTTTCTTTCTTTATCATCAAAGCATGTACACTAGATTCCTGCACCAGTTAAACCAGTTGAAATGTAAACAGCTCTTCATCACTTCTGTAAAAATTTCAACAGTCCCTTTCACAGATGCTTGGAGCAAATATGCAGCTGTTTGCAAACAGATGTTATCACTTTATGTACAACCCCCAAGACATTGAAATGCTAAAATATAATGCAGGTATAAAATATATCCATATATTATATGAAACCCTTATTGTTGTTCTGCTAGCTTAGCACCATGTATTCCTACCTGTAGCCGCTTACTGCTCACTCCCCCAAAATCATTGTGTGTGGAGTACCTTAACAATTATACTGAGAGGTGATTGTGCAGGATACTGCTTTAGTTGTAGCACTACAGCTCTTATATACTGTGCTCTCGTTTGTATTTTTCACTGGCATTTGTTTTCATGAGACTTTTTAGAGCAGAGATAAGCATTACCATGTTGTTTTTAAATGTGCCTGCATGTCATACATCCAGAATTGCTTCTTAAAATATCAAAATCCTCACTTGGGTGTTTTTCCTTTAAGGTAAACCAGTTCTAATCTTTCAGTGGCAGCTTCTTCTAATTAATCATTCGTATCATAATTACCTGTTTTAATCCTTTCTGGGAGTTAATTAAACAGGCTCCTTTATCTGTAGTTCCATAAAACTACAATTTCACTCTAAATCTTAGTGTTTACACGTCTCCTTTAAAGACTCAATTTGGACAGCTAATAATGCCATCCATTCATTTATCCACTTCAGGGTTGCAGGGGGTTCTGCACCTTTACAGAGTGAGATGCATGCAGCACCACTTTATTTTTTATTTTTTACTTTGTTTAAAATGTGTGGACAGATCAGAATGATCTTTAACTGACAGCTTTTCCCCCCTTCCCTTGCATCCTCTTCTTTTAACTGCCTGACAATGGCAGTAGAGGACCTTGCAGAGTATAGTTTCTTTAGTCAAAGGAAATGGCAGAGGAGTGGAGCACGGAGAGAGGAGGTGTGCATATGTCAGAGAGGGGCTGGGTAGTGCTGAGAGGAGGAGGAGGTGGGATGCATGAAAGAGAGTGAAAAGCAGGGAAAGGGGAGGGGACTGTGCTCTCATTCACATTGGTGGCATTTGCCTTGAGAATGAGCGGTTTCTTTTTTGGGGAAGGGGGGTTTTAGAGAAGTTTTTTCCCCCTCAGGAGGGTTGGTCAGAAACAGGAACGGAGTGAGACACGAAGCGGCAGGAGGCTGGATGATCAGAAGGAGCTGGTCAGACATCAGAGCAGCTATGCAAGGAACAAACTGGGGTAAGAGACTCGCAGGAAAAAACCGTTGGAGAAACAGGAAGTTACCTTTTAATTACCTGGCCATTGAAAGTGATGGGCGGTGTTTGACATTCACAGTGGGAGTCCCACTGTGACTGAAAGTTACAGAGGATTATTGTACATTAAGGTAAAAAGAGAAGAATTTTTACATTTGTGTAAAGAAATGTAAACAATTAGTTGATGAATCTCTTAGCTTATCAGCATGCACTTACTGTTTTCCTATTCAGTATGCCATCTCAATTTTTATAATCTCCTTAAAATAAGAATTAAATATCTTTAGGTTTAGACTCCCAATCAGTCTAAATAAGC